AGTAGTAGAGAGAGAGAGAGAGAGAGAGAGAGAGAGAGAGAGAGATTTAACTTTTTACATTGATGTAAGCCTATATTAACTCCATTGACTGAAGTGTGTTTGTCTAGATATTTGAAGGTAAATACCCCAGTGATCATAAGTAGACTGTGTGCTATATTCTCATGGAGCGAATAATGCCACCAGTTGATCATATTTATAAAGAAACACAGATTCAAAGGAGAAAATGAACATTTAATTTTAGGAGAATGGACGCAATCCATACTGGGTATGTCATGATTCCACCTCAACACCAGGTAGAAAGCCTGCCACCTGGTTACACATTGAGTGATGGCCCCAAATCCCAGCCACACGTCCATAGCTGAATCTGCTCCCCGGGGCTGTGAGTCTAGCTCTGATCTCACCTCTGGAGTACACCACTCTGACAACCTGTCCTAGTTAACCCTGTCCCAAAAGAGGGGGAAGACGGCCTGCCATGGATCTCACACGATGGCAGCATCCCTGCAAAGATATAAACAAGCCAGGGCTGTGGCTCAAAGGGTGCCCCTAGGTATTTGTAGCACAGACATGTGACCTACAGTAGCTCAGAGCCCAGTGACATCAGGACCTCAGCTGGCCTGGAATAGCCTGTTCCTTCATTAACCCCATGTAATTACCTCTAGGGGAAGCAAAGATTTTTTTGGGGGTGGGAGGGGCAAAGGTCTTGGGATGCATCCACCAGACAAGCTGACAACTGAGGCGGCCATGGGTGGTCAAAGTTGGTCATTAGGAGGTACCCAGGGGCAAACACTAAAAACCAAGGGACAGACCATGAGCTGGTGTAAACTGACACAGTGCTGTTGACTTCAGAGAAGGTAGGAGATATTTTTGCTCACTAAGTATCTGGCCTTTTGATTTCAGTGGCACTAGGGCTGATTTATGCCAGCTGGGATCTGACCCATACTTCAATGACAAACGGCTGATATATAGCAGTTGGGAATACAGGTTATTGATTTCAGTGGTTCTCTGGCAGATTTACACCAGCTGGGGATGTGGTCTCTTACAGTTTCAAATCCACTTTCTTTGCCTGTGAATTGAAATGGAAGAGGAGACAAAAGTTCCTAACCAGTCAGCACTTTCTCAGCTCTTTGTCCCATGGGATTCATTACAAGAGTGCAACTTATAATGGTTATGAAGCGAATCATTCCAACTAGGAACAGAACTTTGGATTTTCAACTTCAATTTGAAAGAAAGAAAGAAA